GGGGTTGATCCTGCAGCACTGCTCCTCGGTGCTACTAGACCAACCCTGCAGCACCCCAGTTGCTCTGCCCCAGGCGTCCCCAAGTCACCCGCTGCTGAAACTGACCAGCGCTGACTACAGAAAGCCCCAGGCAGAGTTGCTCTGCCCCGGGCTTCCTGGAATCAGCTGCTGATCAGTTTCAGCAGCAGCTGACTTGGGGACGCCTGGGGTTCTTAAGTTGATTCTGTATGTAAGTCAGAACTGGCGGTCAGTTTCAGCAGTGTCTGAATCTGGACGCCAGTTCCGACTTACATACAGATTCAACTTAAGAACAAACCTACAGTCCCTATCTTGTACGTAACCCGGGGACTGCCTGTATTGATGTTAAAAAAAAAAACTTGTTATTGTAACAGTGTAGCTGCTAAAAATGTTAGAGGTTACACATTGGCTCCCTGAAAATAGGGCCAGCAGCCAGTGAGTGTACTCCTAACTGCCAGCCCCACTCTAGGGGATTCAGCTGCCTCGCACTGCAGACTCGCATACAGAGTCTGCAGTGCAGGGCGGCAGCTGGCTCACTCGGAGCTGGTACACGCAGGGAGCTAGTTCTCTGCATACTGGCTCCCGCCCCACTCCTGGGGAGCTAGTGTGAAAGTGGGTAACCAATAAGCATGGGCTTATTGGTTACTCATTTAAACAATTGCACTGTTACATCCCTAATATTGAGCAACTGTTATGAGTAATTAAAAACTGCATATCTGATTTGATGGTAGAAATACGTACTTGAATCTTCTCTTAATGGTAGGAAAATAAGTTTGTGAGATATAGGGAGCAGGTAATTTTTCTGTATTAAATTAACATGATTTCAATTTGTTGTTTTTTATATTATTGTAGGTGGAGTATGTATTTACAGATAAAACTGGTACATTAACTGAAAATGAAATGCAGTTTCGGGAATGCTCCATTAATGGCATCAAATACCAAGAAATCAATGGCAAGCTAATTCCAGAGGGTTTGTCTGAGGATTTCCCAGATGGATTTAGACAGAGTCTTGTAAGTTTTTTTTTTTTTTTTTTTTAAACTGATTAGATGCTGTATAATATTTAAACTGAAATGTTTTTTCTTGGTGTCTGATGTAGAAAAGCAGAACTTCTGTAAGGATTTCCTGTGGTAAAAGAATTTCAGAAAGAATGGTAGATGTAGGGCAGTTTGAGACATTTGATTATTTAAATATCAGCCTGTTCTGTGGCACCAAAGAAGAGCACATATTGTTTTAGAAAGATAAACTTGGTTTCTGAATTGCTTTGTCTTTATAGATGAAAGAAGAAGAGCTCTTCTTGAAAGCAGTCTGTCTCTGTCACACAGTACAGATCAGTGCAGATCAAACTGATGGTATTGGTGACGGGCACTGGCATACTAATGGAATAGTGTCTAAGCTGGAGTATTACGCTTCCTCACCAGATGAAAAGGCATTAGTTGAAGCTGCTAGCAGGTGAGTTCTGAGGTCAAAGTTGTGAGAGGCACAGCTTGGCCAATAGCAGCTTCAAAAGTGAACAGGGAAATTTCTCATCCCTGTAGCTAATTACTATAGTTTACTGCAAGGGCTTTTATTTCACCCTCACACCCCTTCTGAATCAGTTGATAAGAGGCAGTCCCAGGACATGGTCAGTGGAGTCTGTACTTCTTACTATGATTCCACTGGAGACCTGGGAACATGTCTGGCCATATTTGTTACTTGCCCTGGGGTAATGATATTATCTTCCCTCTCCAACATAGTTTCCACACGCAAAGTCATTTTATTGAGACATGTATCTCTGTGTAATTAAATAAATTGAAAAATTACTTGTGTGCCATGGATATATAGCAATTCTGTACCCTTGAAATAGAACATGTAACTATTGGCATTCATAGCCCTTTCCTATGTAGGGAGTGTTATTTGCTTGGTCTGAGTGCTCTCCGTTGACATTATGGGCCCTGCAGTTTTGACTTTGAGGATAGAATTCTGCAGTTTTTCCAGTCTTAGAATGAGTGTTTGGGATACACCTTCTATGTGCCAGCCATCATTTCTCAATAAACTCAAATACCACGTTTGGCTTATCTGTAAGATTTCTCTTCAGGAGCTGTGATAGTAGTGAAAACAGTCATCCAAAAGAGCCTTTTCAAGTTCAAGTATTGTTTGATCTCAAAAATAGTAACAAAGCATAATGAGGGGGAAAGGGTTTTTAACAGTAAGAGGTCTACATACAGTCAGTCTCACTTAAAGGCTTAGTTAGGCCTAACTTATTCCAGCCAATCATACTCAAGGGAACTACGGTTCAATCTACCTTCTGTCGGTCTTCTTCTTTCTCCCACTGCCCTTCAGGGACTTTCTTTTTATCCCCTCGAAAGTTCTTTGTACCACCTACAATCAGAAATAAAACTTTGAGTGAGTGACACCTGCGTTGTCCTTTAAATTGCAGCAAATGGGAAAATTAAGCGATTGTCCCCTTTCCTGCATGCATACAAGCAATCTTTGCTTGAAGTAATGACTTGTAATCATATAGCAAACAACATAATAATAAACAGTTGTATAATATTCATAAAACACTATAGGCATCCTACATCCTTCACAAGTAGACTGTGATTATTAGTCTTCTAGCACAATCTCAGATTAGATTACTAATGAAGCATTTGTACATTGCAGAATATTTTAATAACTATTACAGTTAAGTACTCTCACTGTAAAGGTTTGTTTTATTTTTCTAGTTTATAATACACCAACCTTGAAATTGGATTACTGTTAAATAGTTTCATCCGTTAGCTTTAAAATAGTCTATATTACCAGATCTGTAGAAGATGTAGAAACACTCGCCTGTATTAAATGCTGGGTGGTTAAAAACATAGAAACTACTGCTCTCCAAACATAAATGGAGGGCCCTATGCTCTCATGTTACTATTTCACACTGTATTGGAATTATCTGTCATATAGAAGAGTCACAGATGCATTGAGTATTGTTAATTTTTTGAAAATTAGAACATTTTTCAGTTTATATAATACTTCTATATTTTAAAATATGGCTCTTGCACAGAATCTCATGCTATATTCATTAACAGGTAAACTTTTTTTCCCTTTCACATTTAGAGTTGGTGTTGTATTTACTGGAACTACTGGGGAAGGTATGGAAGTGAAAAGTCTTGGAAAGCCAGAAAGGTATTTCTTTCATATCACTTATGACTCTCTAAAGACAGAACATTAAATAATGTGGATTAATATAATGTATTTTGTATTATCTTTACCCTTACTAGCTGTAAAGCATAAAATATTTTGTTCCTCTTGCTTTACTCATAACTTTTTTTTGAACCTTTGCCTGGTATGTCTAGGGATGTGAAAGTGTAACCTGTACACTATTAACTGATGAGCCTAGGCTCATTGGTTAACGCTCACGGTTATGCCCAGGCTCCCGGTATATGCAGGGAGCTGTCTTAAACACTGGCTCCCTGCACACGTCAGCTCCCATGGAGCTGCCTGCCCTCCTTCACTCCCAAGCTGCAGCCTCCATATCAGAGGCTGCAGTGTGGCAGAGAAGGGCAGACAGAATTTGGCTTAAAAGCAGACTGCCCCACCCTGTATGAAACTGTGACCACTGAAGTTTTCAGCAGATGCACAGTTACTTAATTAAATGCATTTTAACATCCCTAAGTATGTCCCTGAAACAGGTAGTATTGTGTCTTCATGAGAATTAAATGCATGTAACAAGTGAACACGTATCTGTCTATAACCTACTAGTATGTATATTATAGCTGTCCCCTTCCTGTGTGCAATCCACAGAGGATCTAAGTCTTGTTCCAGTTCTCAGAAAATCCAGTTCTTTAGCTCAAGTTTGTAGTATGTGAAGTCCCTAATTCAGTTTCTAAGATCAACTAGATAGCAACTGTCATACATAGAAATTTTGATCATGTCTCGAATTTTTCAGAAAAGAGTTGAGAATGTGTGGGTATTTGCATTCTTTTCAGTATACCATAGAATTTTTTTTGGTCTAATCTATCTTTAAAATACAGTGATGGAGGTCAAAATGTTCAAGCTTCTTACCTCTTTCAGAGCTCTTAAATATTTTTTTGAAAAGTGACTTTTACACTTAGAATTCTAAATTTTATTGAAAGTATGTGGATCTTATGTTTAAGTCACTTAACTTAAAATGTAACATTTGGAAAAGTGCTAAGGAGACATTTTTATAACGTATTTAACTGTTTCCTACTGCCATTTGTTTCTATGAAAAGCTGCTTTCCTTTCTCCTTCCTCTCACCAGGTATAAATTACTTCATATTTTGGAATTTGATCCAAATCGTAGACGAATGAGTGTCATTGTAGAGAGTCCTTCAGGTAGGCAACTAACTCTTGTACAAAGTTGTAATTGTTTACTGCCAAATGGTGCCTGTGATCAATTTTTACTCTATTCTTAGGAGAAAAGCTCTTATTCACAAAAGGAGCAGAATCATCCATTCTTCCTCACAGTAGAGGTGGTGAAATAGACAAAACAAGGATTCACGTAGATGAATTTGCATTGGTAAGTCAAAAATTTGCATTAATTAAATTAATTCAAGAAGTTTATGCGGCTTTAAGGCCCTAGATAGGTTTAAACTCGGAAAAATGTTCAAGAAAAGATCATGTATAGGTACTGGTCAAGAGTGAAGAAGCACTTGTATGGGGAGAAATTCTGAAATTCCATGAGCTCGAGTGCCAGCAATTTGTAGATGACACTGAATTCTATTACTAACATTTTGATACCAATGACACCTTCCTATTCCAGGCTCTGAATGAGGAAGATTTGACTGAGCCTATCCCCTAGCAAGGTAGAGCTGATGCTCTCAGGGAATACTTGGAAAAGCTTCCAACCACACTGAGCTCTCCTGTTGAGGGAATTTGTTCCCAAATCCTCAAAATAGACCACAGTCTGAGTCCATCATTGAACTCTCATTTAACACTGGTTGCAAAACCGTTTGTGACCAACTAAGAATCTATAACCTATCCTTTCCCGTGACCACTTTTCATTAGCCGAACACTGTTGTTACCCCCATGCTATGTTACTGCAACCCAAAATGTATATATACATAGATATTAGACAATTGTATAACCTGCAGTATTCGGTCACTGGTCAACATTTGGTCTTCTAGTGCTTGTAAATCAAATACATTGCTTCTCCCTCTTCCAGGCGACCAATTATATATTTTTTGTCTTGTATGTTGCTGAGTGCATTTTTGGCGTTTAACCTAATTTTAGCTTGGTAGCAGTAATCTGCCTTATCTAAAGCAAATGGTAAGTTTTTTAAAGTAACCATTAGGAATATTTATAAGATATAAATATTATATTTGTGGTGCCTTTTTAGTACCTTTCATATGTTTTTAAATCATTTTATGAACATTATGCCTCATAGCATCTTTCAAAAAATATGTGCTGCAATGTCTTGATTTATTACAGAAAGGATTAAGAACTTTATGTGTAGCCTATAGAAGATTCACAGCTGAAGAGTATCAGGAAATAGACAGACGGCTTCATGAGGCTAGAACTGCCTTACAGCAGCGAGAAGAACGACTTGCAGATGTATTTAACTTCATAGAAAAGGATCTGGAATTACTTGGGGCCACAGGAGTAGAGGACAGGTATGTTTTTGGCCTTCTGATTATTATCCTACAAAAACAAAACAGGCTTCCCTTTTATAATTTCATGGTGGTGTATCCTTCTTTGTAAATTTGTCCCAACAATCCATGAATAACAGAAGGCTACTTCTAAATAAATGTGCACGCACATTCAATGAAGTCTTAAATGTACTAAACACGTTAAGTGTATGAGGCTTAATTGTTCCAATAGGATGCCATGTGCTCTCCAGACAGGTTTTCAACTGTCTACCTTGTAAAGTGCATGAAACACAATCAGACTGAAATAAATGTATATTAAGCGCTTCTAGATGACTTCTGGAAAAACACAGAAAAGTAGATACCTTGACACCATTCTATTTTTATGTTGTATTTTTTTTTAAATTATTGTAATTAGTCTCAAAATAAATTCTGCTGATTCACAATTTGAAGGAAAAGTAGAAAAAAGATATGGACTGTAGGAAATTAAAGTTTATTAAAACTTCTAAATATATTCAGAAGATCTTGGCTAATAGTGATCTCCAGACCTAAAACTAGTACAGTATTCCAGGTCTTGATTAGTGGAAATAAAATGGACTAAGTACATTTTGTGAATAGTGTAAGGAACATCCTTATTGTATCTAAATAAGCCAAATTACATGCTAAATATCCTACCAATTTCAAATATGATTTCGTATACCTTTTTATCTCACGCTTTGTTTAAATATTAAGCCTAATCATAATGTGGACTGTTTCTTTATAGAGTGATCTAGCGGTTAGTGAAGGTGTTCTTATTTTCAGACTTCAAGATAAAGTCCAAGAAACAATAGAGGCACTCAGGTTGGCTGGTATCAAAGTATGGGTGCTTACTGGAGATAAGCATGAAACAGCTGTTAGCGTGAGTTTATCATGTGGACACTTCCATAGAACCATGAACATCCTCGAACTTGTACAACACAAGTCAGACAGTACGTGTGCAGAGCAGCTGAGGCAGCTAGCCAGGAGGTAACGTATTATTTTTATTTCTCAAGTTTTATGACAGTCATTTTAGTTCATTTAGATGCCCGATATATAAATTTATTCTGACACTAATAATGCTGTTGCTTCTGAAAGTCTAACAGATGCTCTTTTCAACTTGCGTGATTTTGTTGAGAATACACGTACCTATACTAAAATAAAATGTTTTCAAAATAATAATGACTTTTTTTTTATCTGAATAGAATAAAGGATGATCATGTAATTCAGCATGGGCTGGTTGTGGATGGGACCAGCCTCTCTCTTGCACTCAGGGAACATGAAAAACTGTTCATGGACGTTTGTAAAAAATGTTCTGCAGTGCTGTGTTGCCGCATGGCACCACTGCAAAAAGCAAAGGTAAGTCAGTGTACAATATTTGTGATACTTTTCAAATATAAACATGTTTAAATTTGTAAGTTATATGATTGCATTGATTATGGTGACCTCCTGCATTACAAAGCGTATTATAAAGTTAATATTTATCTTCTTTTCAGAAGAATAGGCAGTATGTCTGTGGTTTCAGCAATACTGTATCTTAAAGTATCTTAAAGGTTTGGTTCTCCAGTTTAGTTTAGAAGTCTTGTCATCCAATAGAGTTGTCTTTATTATTTACCTATTAAGTCTGCATCATTGGTGCTTCTGTCACTTGGGCACCTGGATCACAGTGAAAAATGAGATCATTAAATCAGAGTCGTAAAATTTAATTTCTAAATTGTGCACTATTCAAGTCAGTTGATCTAACAAAATACCCTTTAGTAAGGGTCTGTGTGTGGCCGCTGTTCCAGTGCTGTATACTGTACAATACATAGTCCAGTAGGTGGTTTCACAGTAGTAGAACTTACATAAACCGCCTGACAGCTACAGTGGAGCAATGAGGGGATGTGGTTTCTAGTATCCTAATTGAATATATAGACAGGTAAGTGTGAACAAATTAACATCCCACCAAAGGGACCGGGAGCAACCACAGGCTATATATATTCACTAGCATTCATGTAGCAATATAACATTTTGGGTTTTGCTCATTTAGTATATTTTGACAAAAGGAAAATATTTTAGGAAATGTTTTACTTCATAGAAAACCTGTGTTTGTAGGATAGTGAAGTGACTCTGACTCCTGCAATGTTTTGAGTATCTCGGCTCTTTAATGCTATTTGAGTAAAGACATAA